TTTAACTATTTTGAGTATTCAATTTAGTGGCATTAATTATATTCACAATGTTTTGCAACCATCATTAATATTTATTTCCAAACTTTTTTGTCACTCCGAAGAGAAACTATGTGCCATTAAATAATAACTCCTCATCTCTCCACAACTACCACAACCCTATCCACCACTCCTGGTAACTTATCTACTTTCTGTCTCTATTCATTTGCCTATTCTATATATTTCATATAAATGGGATCATACAATATTTGTCCTCTTTTGTCTGGTTTATTTAACTCAGCGTAATGTTTTCAAGGTACATCCAAGTCATAGTACATCAGAACTTCATTTCTCCTTGTGGTTGAATAATATTCCATTGTATGGACATACACACATTTTGTTTATCCATTCATCTGTTGATGGACATTTGGGTTGTTTTATTCCATCTCTCTTGTCATTTTCTCAGTGAGACCTTCCCTGCCCACCAAATCTAAGGCAGTTCCAGCCCACTGTATTCATCATATTCATTTTCTTTGTAGCCATTAACCTAATGTGAAGTGTATGTTTATTATCTATTTGCTTTTGAAATGTCTGTTTCAAAACAAGTCTATAACATGAGGGAACAGATCTGGACTATTTTGTTCCCTGCTGAAACAGCCATTTCTTCAAAAATAATCTGTCTGTTACATATTTTGTAAATGTTTTCTCCAAGACTGTTGCTAATTTTTAACTTTAAAAATTCTGTAGTTGAATCTGTTAGTCTTTCCATCATGGCTTTTGGAGTTCTTGTTGTGTCTTGTTGTGTCTATTCTTAACTAGTTCCTTGTAATATATTCCTAGACATGGAAAAATTGAATCACAGAGTATGCATATTTTTTAGGGTACTGTTGCTTTTTGTCAAATTGTCCATCCCCCACCCTCTGCCAAAACTTGTGACTTGCATTCTTAAAAGCTCTAACCAGCAAAATTATGTCATTCGATTATGTTATTAATTCTAATGCTAGAGATGAGAGTGTCCTGAAAAAGTTCAGGCAACTTCCAAGGATGTAAGGGAACACACTCACCAGCAGCTATAGATTTGGTGGTGAATATTTCTATACACATGACTGTAGGTGCAGCTCATATAAAGCACACAAGGGATATACTCAGGGAAGCCTCATAGACATAACAAACATCTAACAGGATGAAGTTCCTAGGGTAGAAGACAAAAGATCATAGACTTGGGGGACACGTGTGTCAATTGGCACAACATAGTATATGAAGACAATGTTCTAAATCCTCCTTTGGTGAGTAGTATCTGGGGTCTTAAAAGCTTGGGAGCAGCCATCTAAGCTACAGTGATTGGTCTTTTGCCTTCCAGAGCAAAGGAGAGTGAACAAAACCAAAGACTCAAGGGAGCAATCAGTCCAAAGGACCAATGGACCACATGAACCACAGCCTACACCATCTGAAGACCAGAAGTACTACTTGGTGCTCGGCTACCACTACCAGCTGCTCTGACTGGGGTCACAACTGAGGGTCTTGGACAGAGAAGGAAAAAAACATAGAACAAAAAAATCCAATTCACAAAAAAAGATCAGATCTACTGGTCTAACAGAGACTGGAGGAACCCCCGAGACTATGGCCCTAAGAGACCCTTCTGACCTAGAACTGAAGCCATTCCTAGAGACCACCTCCCAGCCAAACAATAGACAAGCACAAAAGATAAACAATAACACCTGAGAGGAACGGACAATCAATTATACGAGATCAAAGGGGCATGATCTGCCCAAAAGCAAAGATGAGAAGGAAGGATAGGGTAGAAAATCAGGAGGAAAGAAAATCATGAGAGGAATGACACCAAGGTCATGAAACACTTTATGTACAAACTATTGAATGAGAAACTAATTTGCTCCATAAACTTTCACCTAATTAAAAAAAAAATAAAGAAGTTTAGGAGTCAGATGCCTCAAGCAAGGATGCTGTGTTCCAACCTGCCTACAAGGCAGAGGTTTTGAGTGCCCCTCCACTGGCACCAAATCATTTCATAGTCCTCTTATGGTTTTCCTAGACACAAATGAATGCACAAATTTGTCCATATCCATTGTCCCCAAATAATTTTTCTTGCTTTACCTCTGTCTCAACTGGATCACCTGCAAGATCTGTGGTCAGCCTGAGAATAGAAGTGCACTCTCTTTCTGGGTCACTCTCTAATCATGGTAGTACTGAGAATCTTGGCCAACTGGGTAAACAACTTGACCTGACCATTCCAGCCCAGCTATCACAAATGTTGCCAATTATAACAGGAGTTCCCAACATAGGGAAATGACATAAAAGAATGTAATGCACTGTGAGAGTAACCTGATAAACATTATTGGATATGATGTCATGGAGATAAAAGTTTGGTGACCTCAGCTCACATTTAGCCCTTAGCCATCTCTGTGAACATCATATGACTTTACCTGATCTTTAATCATCCCACAATAGGGTAGTAGTCCTGGGTAAGCCGGGCCACTCTCTCAATGGACTATAGAAATAGGGCCTTCCTATATTAGATTTACCTGCAATGCATAATCGTCATTGCCTTTCCTCTGCAGATTAAAGAGGATAATTCTTTGTAATATATACTTTTGCTTAGTTCAGATCCCAAACACATGGTAGAAAAAGCAAATATGACTATTGAATGTAGCAGACTCCATGCACTTTATAACTGGCCCCATGTTTCCACTAGCTTGAGATAAGGTCTTGGCCTGATTTTGTTCTGCCTTAACTAAGGGCAGTTGCTGGAATCTTTTCTTTCACCCCAGCGGCATCCCTCAGGGTCTCTAAGAACCCAAGCCCCACCCTCGTTATTCGTGGATATGAATGTTGAGGACTTCCAGGGGCTGTTTCTGATAGGTCTGAGTAAATACTGGGACACAAAGGGGAGTCACTAATCCTGGATGATCTATAGGCAATGTGCAGACACCAAAAGAAAAAACAGTTGCTGTTGATTCCTACTCATGGTGACCCCATGTGTATCAGAGTAGAACTGTGTTCCATAGAGTTTTCAGAGACTGTGATCTTTCAGAATTAGATTGCCAAGCCTTTCTTCTTATGGATTTCTCTGGATGGATTCCAATCTCCAACCTTTTGGTTAGTAGCTGAGTACTTAACCGCTTGCACCACCCAGACAGGGAGGAAAATAGGGGCAACTTAACAAGGGAGAAAATAGTTGGAGAACTAATACAGAGCCTCCATACAGGTCACACATGTGATAGAGGTTCTTCCAGCACTGGACGAGCTTCCTAATAACAGTGGTGAATTTGAGAGGTGCAGAACTTGTTGCTTATTAGATATCCAAGTGGAGAAGTCCAATAAATAGGTGGTCGAACAGGAGTTTAGTTCTCAAGGGAAAGTTTGTGCTAGAGATAGAAATTGTAAGTCATCAGTCCTGTGACCAAGTGAGATCACCTAGGGAAAAGGGGCAAAGACTGACAATCGAGCCTAGGATTACCCATGCCTCCCAGAGTCCCCAATCCTGCTTACAAATGCAGAGGTAAGAGGCTAAAAGGGATCTCATATAGCAAGTTACCATTTTACTGCAGCATTAGTTCCCATTCCATTGCATTTGTAACCAACTTTCTTACTCTCAGATACCCCAAGCATTGTGGCTCTATTCCCTAGTCTCTTTAGGGTGTGTGTGTGTGTGTGTGTGTGTGTGTGTGTGTGTGTGTGTGTGTGTGTTGGGGAAGAGGGGCAGTTTAGTAGGGGATTTGTATAATAGGCTGTGGTGCAAATGGTTAAGTGCTCAACTACTAACTGAAATGTTGGAAGTTTGCATACACCCAGAGGCACCTGGGAAGAAAGGCCTGGAGATCTCTTCTGAAAGATCACAGCCATTGAAAACCCTGTGGAGTGGAGTTCTACTCTGAAACACATGGGATAGCTATGAGTTGGAATCCACTCCAGGCAATTTTTTAAAAAATTTATTTCAACCAGTGTGTTAATTTTACAAATAATGAGTGGCAACTGTACAAGCAAAATAGGAATCACAAAGGAGCATCAGACATGGTCCTTACCCTGATTTCCTTGGAGTAGGAAGAGGTGCAGGAAGGGAAAATATAGAACATAAATACCACAATATTTAATAGGAATTAAATATTAAAATATAATAGGAAAGGGGAGAGATGATCAGGGAAGACCTCCTGGAGCAGATCTGTGTGCTGACATTTCAGGGTAGAATCGAATGTCCTAGGTAACTATCTGGATTAAAGGCATTTCGTACAGAATGAGCAAATTCTCTGATGGGAGAAAAAAGTGAGCTAAACTGACAAACCGATCCCCTTTTTATTTTATTTGTTTTTAATTACCAGAATGAAATCTAATGGAGAGAATGTGTTACTGCAGATAAACAAAGCAATGTTTTTTTTCATTGCCACAGCAAAAAGTACATGTATTTGGGCAGCTCCTCAAGTCTCAACAAATGGAACTTCCAGTTCCTGCTTGCGCTGTTCTTTCCCGCAGAGACGCCAAGAAAACTCTTTAGGCAGCTACTCTCTTCGCCGACCAATGGCAAAGAAGCCCATACTTTTGCACGCAGCCCATTGGCTACTGTAAAAGCCCCGCTCTGAGCACGGACCAATCAGCACCCAGAGCCCAGATTCCAGGAATAGTTTCTGGCCAGGAATGCTTGACATTGAAAAGGCCTCGGACTTGTAAACAAGGACGAGTTTGGGCGGGCCCCGGCCCATGCGACCAGGAACCCTGTCCCAAACTGACCTGGAGCGCACGTTCCTACAGATGTCCGTTCAGCGTCCCTCTTCCCGGTTTCGCCCCACGGATGCCAGGCCACTCCTCGAGTACCGGGGGCGGGGCCTAAAGTTCTTTTTCTGAGCTGATTGGCGCGGCCCCAAGTTTAGGACGCGTTTCTAAGTTCTAGTGACTCCGCCCCGTAGGGGTGGGCGGAAGGGTGCAGGGAGACACATAAAAGTGGGGCAGACGGCCGGGGTAGCAAGACGCGAACTTTAGCCTCGAGCTGCTGTACCTCGAGAACGACTGACAGCCCGGCTCTTCCAACCCGCGTCACTCTGGAACCCCAGCCCTGGTCCGGGTACCTAGCCCGCCAGCACACTTGCCCTCCCCACACCTGGGTTTTGCTCAGGGCAGCCTTCGCCCCTCAACCTAGCCCCAACCCCTGCCAGGCCCGGTGGGCATCAAGATGAAGGCGGCACGATTCGTGATGCGCAGCGTCGGCTCGCTGAGCGGCGCTGGCCTGGTCCCCCGCGAGGTCGAGCATTTCTCGCGCTACAGTCCGTCCCCGCTGTCCATGAAGCAGCTGCTGGACTTTGGTGAGCGGGGCGCAGGGTCGCGGCGGGGGCGCTGGGTCTGTAGAGCTGCCTTAACTTTCAGCCCTGGATAGAAAGGGCTGCACCTGGGGGGGGGGGGCAGGGAGAAGGGGGTTGGGGTGTGTGTGTGTGTCTGTGTGTCTGTGTGTGTCTTGTGTGTGTATGTCGGTTGGGAGGAGCGGATCTTTGCTAAAACAACTGAGGTCCGCTTTGCGATTGAGCCCGGGAGCCTCGACGCCAAGGCACCTTGCCGTTCCTAGATTTGGCTTCTTTTTGACAATTTGTGCCCACAGGTAAAGGCCACCTGCAGCCCCGCTGATACTGGATGGTTTGGGCTCATCTTTCTTCTTGCTGTCCAGAGCTTCCAGTCAATATAGTTTTTGCTCTCCGTCACCATTTAACAATGGACTAGAAACTTTATCCTCTCCTTAACAGCATGGTATTTCTCGGAGATGATACATATATAACATTATAAAGTGGCCTCCAATTAATTGAGATTTTATCGTTTAACCACCCTGCATCCCTCCATAGAGTACATTCTGGATTCCTAACAGATTTTTTGGTCTCTTTACCATTATCGTTTTCCATATGTTTACATTATCGCTGGACACACTTGCTGCAGTAATCTCATAAGGAAAGTTTCCAGGGTTTAAACGTGATATTGTTTATTACTAGTCTGGAAACATCACAACCTCCATCCCACTTTTTTATCTCCCCACTCCTATTTCATGTCATGTGAAGGAATTGTGTTGTTGTCATTACACTCTTTTATGAATACTGAGAGCTGTGGGGTACTTTGACTTCTTGGAAGTGAATCTTCTTCAAAAAGAGAAAACAATAATTCGCTTATATCGGTCACTTAAAAAAAGAAAGAAAGAAAAAGACAATGAAGATACCTGCTTCTCAGTTATCTGTAAACGGTAACCCAACTGTGGGCAAAATATAATTGTGTGCGTGTGTTCACTATTCAATAGTTAATGCTTTTCAAACATATCAGTTAGCCATACTTTCTTCTAAAAAGTAAATATTTATTATAGGTTCAGAAAACGCATGTGAAAGAACTTCTTTTGTATTTTTGCGGCAAGAATTACCTGTGAGGCTCGCCAATATCCTGAAGGAAATTGATATCCTCCCTGATCAATTAGTAAATACCTCTTCAGTGCAGTTGGTTAAAAGCTGGTAAGTGGTAAACCATTCTGAAGCAGCCTCTAGTTTTAAGATGGCTACCTGATTATGACTTCTTATAATACATTACCATCATAATTGGAAAACAGGTGATCTGAACAGTAAATACTTTCGAAAAATGTCAAGTTTTTTTTATTCATTTATAGTCAGTTATCATAAGGAGCTTGGCTGCTAACCAAAAGGTCGGCAGTTTGAATCCACCAGCTGCTCCTTGGAAACTATGGGGTAGTTCTGTTCTTTCCCATAGAGTTGCTATGAGTCAGAATTGACTCGACAGCAGTGGGTTTGGTTTTTTGTTTTGTTTTCATAAGGACAGTTACAAAGCTGTAAACAGACATTTGACCCTGAAAAAAATAGGTATTTTTACAACATTATTTTTACGTTCAGAAGAAATACAAAAATATGCCATATGCAATTTTAATTTTGTATTGTAAAGAATAGAAGACAGAATTTGATATTGTAAAAGGAATCTTATGCCTAAAAGTCGATGCAAATGACTACTATTTAGAGAAGGCCTAATCTTTGTTACTTAAGAAAAACAATTCACAGAGTTGGCTCTGAGTTTAAATCCTGACTCGGCCACTTCCTAGTTGTGGGACCCTTGGCAACTGTCTTAAGTGCTCTCTGCCTCAATTCCCCCATCTCTTATTGAGGAGAATAACGTATATGCTTCAAAGTGATATTTGAGTGTAATCAAGAGGTACTTCATAAAAAGAGCACTTAGAACAAACAGTACCTGGTACAGAGCCACGACTCCGTCAGTGTCAATTATTATCATCTTCTTTTACAAATAAGAATACTGAGATTGAGAGAGGGTAGATAAACCCAAAGGAGCAGATTTTCGGAGAACAGAGCCAGGATATACACTATAGCATCCCACGCAAGAGCCTCACCCTAATCCACTGACTGCATAGCTTTTTGTTCATTGATTCAAGAAATATATGTAGTATATACCCTCAAAACAATTGCTGTCAGAAACACATATCCAATCTGTAGTATTTATTGCTGCTTTCAAGACTTCTATTCCACTACAAATGAATATAGTAGGAGCAACTAACTAAAGAAGCCTTTGAAAAAAAGTGATTTCTAAGTGTTTTGCTGTAAGAAATATAAAACATTTGCCAAACAAAAAATTCAGAAAACTGAATACTGACCTGGAAGAATTAAAGGAATATAAATTTTAAGTTAGAAATTTGAGGGTTAAAGGTTGTAGCTTTCTTTTTTTAACATACTGCTTTCCAAATGTGCTGGAGGAAAGCTTTTTAATTTTAAACCTAATGCTTAACTTCCTCTTTTCAGAGTATTTGAAAAAAGCATTTTCAACCATTTGTATCTAACTATTCAGTTTTAAAACCTAAAGCACACTTGTTGCTTCACAGGTATATCCAGAGCCTGATGGACTTAGTGGAATTCCATGAGAAAAGCCCAGAGGACCAGAAAACATTATCGGAGTAAGCAAGCTGTGTGCATTGGAATAAATGTTTAAAACTTTGATGATTTCCAAACACACTCCTAAGATTTTATAACTAAATTAAGAAGTTTAAATCCTGAAAAACAAATTATGACCCTCTTCAAGATAACTTTTGGCTTACTAGCTTTTTGAAAGTGGTGAAGGCGTAAGGCATTGAAAATGGTGCTGAGTATGAACAAGTGTAGTGGACTTGATTTTTTATATAAGGAAATCTCTTTTTACTATAAATTCAGTCATAGGATTAAATTTGCAAGAGGATTTAGTACTATATAATGTTAATACTTTTCAGTGTTATTGGAGACTAAACATTTTCTTTCAAAGTAATTGAAAGTTTCTAGTTATCTAAATAAGAATCTTTTCTAAATCTGCCAAGACATTTTGAATCTTTTTCAGGATGATGTTCTAGCATTAATTTCAATGTTAATTTTATTTTTTAAAGAGGAGGCTTACTTAACATTTAATGAACACCTATAATGAATGCTTCCATTATAGAGCTAGAGTATTTTTGCAAGTAAGCTAGAGGCAAAAAAAAAAAAAAAAAAAATCTGTTTATGAAACTGTCTACTATGGCGGAATAATCTCTCGTAAGAACCCTAGTAAAACTTTAATATTTTATCATTTGATTTGTTACTAAAAAGAGCTTTAGCCTTCTTTGAAGTAATTTATGGCATGTAAGTGAATTAAACTTATTTGAGCGTTCACTAACTGTAAACGTTATGGCTTAGTTTTGTAGATGCAGTTGTCAAAGTTCGAAATAGACACCATAATGTAGTCCCTACAATGGCACAAGGAATCATAGAGTATAAAGATGCCTGTACTGTTGACCCAGTCACCAATCAAAATCTTCAATATTTCTTGGATCGATTTTACATGAACCGTATTTCTACACGTATGCTGATGAACCAACACAGTACGTTAACTCATCTTGATCATCATACATAGAGATGGGTATAGATTATACACTATACTATAACTAGATGTTTCACTAACTGGTGGGTCAGATTCTTTCTCGCAGGAGTTCTAATAATTATTATCCTGATTTTTATAATGATATTTTTTGTTTTTGTTTTTTAACAGTTCTTATATTTAGTGACTCACAGACAGGAAACCCAACCCACATTGGAAGCATTGATCCAAACTGTGACGTGGTAGCAGTGGTCCAAGGTAGTGTCAAGATTTTTTGCATTTCCCTTATTGAAAATGTACAATATATGATCGACGTATCTGTCAGTGAGGTGACTTTGTGAATGAATTTAAATTTTTATAAATGCTATCATCAAAGTTCTTTGCTTCTTAGAGTCAGGAGTTTAACATTCATTTTTAATATTATAAAAGATCCAAACATCAATGGTTAATGTGTCATATTCTTATATATTGTATTTGATTTCTGAAGTGCACATATTCCTGTTGCTGTTAGATACTGTCTTAAATTTTTCTTCAAGTAAAATATTACAAAGGCATTTTTTTCTATACATACTCTAGTGAATATTTTAGATTAAGTATAGTAGATCACACTGAAGATCATTTGAGAATTTTACTTGGCATAAATTCATTTCATTGTAATGAAAAAATATTTTTTATTCTAGATGCATTTGAGTGTTCAAGGATGCTTTGTGATCAGTACTATTTAACATCTCCAGAATTAAAGCTCACACAAGTGAATGGTAAGCTATAAATAAAATATATTTTAACCTAGACAGAATTCAATATCCTCCCAGTAGGACTGCTTTTTATAAATATAAAGTAACTTCAGTGTTCCTTTTTTCCCTTCAGAACTTGTCTAGAATTTGTACACTTTTTTTTTTTTTTTTTTTTGAAGCCAAGTTTCTTTTTAACTATCTCAACTAGGAAGCTCTCATTGAGCATATTCATTTGCTGATGATGATTCAAAAAGAGACTGGTTTGAACAAATAATTGGGGATTTGGAGTAGCAACTATGTTTCTATATCTTAGATCAAAGAAAGATTGCTTACTAATTCAAAGTGCCTACCAAATATGGGGAAATGAGGAGACCAGAAGTAGGAGGGATCGCTGAACAGTGGAGATACCCTTCTAAAGAGGTTACTCATAAGACCTGGAAAGAATAAAGGCCTTTAGATTGTACTATGAGTATATGCCACTATTTTCAAAGCAGAACAAACATCAAAATCTTCAACTGTAGGTTACCTGAAAAGATAAAGTCTTTCTACATTGACTAACGTGATTGCATGATAAATTCAAGGCATTATTTTTATCTGATTCCATTTCGTTCTAGAAGACAGTTGCCATCTCAAAATGACATAATTTACTTACATTGGAATAACCTTCTTTTCATTCAAAGTAAACATCTTTTCCAACTAATTCATACAGGAACAATGTTTGCTAGTGGTCAGAATTAAAATCAAGTAGTTCAAATTGAGAGAGTGGCCTAACACAGGTTGTGAATATGCAAATGATAAGTGAATGCTAAACTAAAAGCAGAAGTACAAGTAGAGGTTGAAAAACATCTCTAAGCATAAAGAGAGTGGTTGCATAATCCTTGTGTATAAACTGCTTGAACTGTTTGATAAAATAAAGAGGGATTTGTGCTAGACGTTATGTGTTCTCATTCAAACTTCGCCAAGGCCTGGGACACTAAAGAATAATACTTTTATTTTTCTTTTCAAGCAGTATTATGAGGTTTTTGTGTCTGTTTTCTTTAGCCTCTTGGTGAAATTTAAGCATATTGAGCATAGAAGATTTAATGTTCCATTGGTATAACTTTTAAGAATAATCCAATGTGTTATTTGTATTGAAAATATGAAAATTATAGCTAGCATTAATTTAAATTTTATACTATAAACAGTTTTTTTTCTCTTGAAATGCATATAAGCTTAACTTTGGAATTGCCCAGTACAGAAATATTGTATATAGGAAAAACCAATGTAATCTAATTTATAGTACCATTGTTTCACACTTCATCTTACTTTATACATTTTCAGAGAAATGTGAACATTAATCATAGCGCAATAGGTAGTAACTGTAACAGTATTTCGAAAATAACTCCATGGTGTTTACTGTTTAACTGGGAAGGCTCCAGTGTAAGATTTTGGAGTGGGGAGGATGGGCAATATTCCAGCACTGTTTGGGTTTGAAATATCAATCAAACATATGTAGAGATTTATTTTAATGAAACATTTGTTTCCCAATTCTAAATGAGTTTTATTTTTCTAGGGAAATTTCCCGGCCAGCCAATTCACATTGTGTATGTTCCTTCTCACCTTCATCATATGCTCTTTGAACTATTCAAGGTACAAGACTTCACAATAATTGCAATTTTGTCTTTAAAAAGAAGCTCACTGGATATGTTTTTATTTCCTGTGTCATTCACACTAAACAGGAGCCTTACTACCTTCTCCTAAGCCTGCTTTTGTGCTCCTAAGAAGCCACAAGTAATGTTGAAAGGGTACTTGCAGCTCATTTGCAGGATTAGCAAGTATTTGTGAAAGTACAATATGATTCATAGCATGTCAGTGCTTTAGAGCTGAGAAGATGTTCCTGTTATTTGTCCACCTGTCCAACAAAGCCCTAGTCATTCATGCACTCGTTAATGAAGGGCATGGGATGAATGCTTCAGTGAATGAGGCCTTGTTACCTCCACCCCCACAGGCTGGTCCAGCTCCAAACCCAGAGACTTAGGTCCAGAATTACTGTCCAGTGACATGGCCCCATCCTGAGCCTCAGATATTCTCAGAGGACAACCAATCCCTTCAGTGACCTACTTTAAAGTGCCTATGACTCACCTGGGGATTTTGTTAAAAAGGAGATTCAGATTCAGTAGGCCTGGGGGAGGAGGTGCAGGGCTGAGATTTCTGTATTTCTACTAAGTCAACAGATGATGTTGCTGGTCCACAGTCCACACTTTCCGTAGCAAGGCTGCAAGGCAGTTCTTCTCAAACTTTAGTGTGCATTAGACTCACCTGGAAGGCTTGTGAAAACACAAATTTTTCAGTGTTGCCCCCAGAGATTTTGACTCAGTAGGTCTGAGAATTTGCAGTTTTAACGAGCTCTCAAGTGATGCTAAGGTGACTGGCCTGGGGTAGCCAGGTGTCATGAATCAAATCCTCTAGTGAGTTCTAAGACCAAACTCAAACCCTGAGCTTACACTAAAAAGTAGAAAGAAAAGCTTTGCCATGCTTCCAAAGAGTCCTTTGGACTGGAGACAGGTGAGTCCAAAAACAGTGATATGTGCCTCTAATTCTGATATAACTCTTTCCAGAGCTTACTATTTCCTAACTTATTCTAATATTAGTGCAATGAGCTATTGATTGTACTACAAACACCTAATCTATTTTATTTCACTTCAGCTAAAGACTGGGACCTAATATTATATAGAAAACAAAAAGCAGATAACCTATCAGAAGAAAGTTAGGGAGGACAATGGGTTAAATAAACCAAGACTTTATTTGTGTGAGATTCATCCAGTTGGCGCAACGCTTGTTTTAGTTTCTTCTGTGATAGTTTCTTTGATTTATTTTTAAACTGAAAAATGCAACTCACAGTTATTTTACCATCACTGATAAAAGTTAAGATGATAATCAAATGCAAATTGAAATTTAATTTAGAATTATTTACTGTCCTTTTAAATAGTAACAGACTTTTCCCAGGAAATTTTATAAAAGGTAACAAATTAGTTCAGTGATTCACTGTTCATTTGTTATGTAATAGCCTTTGGTGCTTGGATGTAAACTGTAATGGAAAGACAGAAAAGGGAGAGCTAGGAAATAACACTGTAAAAACCAATTCTTTCATTTAAATTCAGCTTACAAATAAGAATTTGACAGCTAGCAGAATTGTTTTTCCACTAGACATTACTCCCAAGAGCCACATTACATGTTAAATGAATATTTTTCATTACACGTTCTACATGACATATTCATAAATGGCTACTTACAAAGCTGTTTTACTACTAACTTAAAAAATAGGAACTTTGAATCACTCTTTGTGCTGCTTTTATTTCAAACATGAAAAAAAAACACAGTTATTTACTGTCCCTCATTCTTCTGCCATTGATTTCTTTATGGTTTTGTGTTCTGCAGAATGCAATGAGAGCAACGGTTGAACACCAGGAAAACTGGCCTTCTCTTACACCAATTGAGGTGATTGTTGTCCTGGGAAAAGAAGACCTTACAATTAAGGTAACTATTTTCTGTTTTTCTTTTAGATCTCTCTTGACAAAATTAAAATGGGTCAATAATAATAAAGATCTCTGCTTTTGGTAATAGGTCAAATTCATGTATACCAGTGACTTTTAAACAAAGAAAAGATATTTTTATATACACAAACACACTTTTTTTTTAATGTGTAGCTCTGATGCCTTGTTTGTTTGTTTAAGATTTCAGACAGAGGAGGTGGTGTGCCCCTGAGAATCATTGACCGCCTTTTTAGTTACACATACTCCACTGCCCCAACGCCTGTGATGGACAATGCACGGAATGCTCCTTTGGTAAGACCAATTCAATGGCTAAATTCATCCTAGCCACATAAAGCTTACAAGGGATTACATAAACAGGGACTACAAGGAAATATTTAGGCAAGCAAATCAATTTAGATAATTAGATGTGGGATATATAAGAAAGAATGATAAAGCAAACTAAAAATGGTCAACCAAATCTACAAGAGGTGGTGGATGGGAAGCAGAAGATACTTATCTAGGTTCTAGGACATCAGTATCAGTGAGGATAATAAATCCTTACTACATTTTGTATTCCAATGATCACATACACTTCTTTACCAATAACTAATCTTTCCTTTCTAGGCTGGTTTTGGTTATGGCTTGCCAATTTCTCGTCTTTATGCCAAGTATTTTCAAGGAGATCTGAATCTCTACTCTTTGTCAGGATATGGAACAGATGCTGTCATCTACTTAAAGGTATCCTGTGAATTCAGTGGAAAAATAATATTTCTAAAGAGACTGTTCTTTTTATAGCTCTAAGTTCTAGGGTCCACAGTGAATTTCCTAAACAGAGTTAATGAAAATAAGGACCATGAATCATTCTATTTTCTGTTTGGATGTGTGTAGATATACTACTTAATATGGCTGCTTGCCAAAGAGGTGGCTGGAGCAGGTCACCTGTCTGGGGTAAGGTAAAATTGTTTCCCAAGAAGCAAGTTACCAAAGTTTTAGAGTGAAGACATCCTCATGTGAACTTTTTAAACCAACTTCTTTGGCATCTGTGAGAATAGCTGCACTTTTGTGTTACTTGAACTTGTGGGAAATAAATGCTAATAATGTTCCAGTCTAGAAACAGCAGATATCAAGAAACACAAGCCGTTAAGCTGACCTTATTAGGAAAACAGGGAAAAGAAAACTGACTACTTACAAGCTGTCAGTGGGATGCCAGGCATTTCCTGTCTGAACTTTAAAACTTGGTAAAAAATAGAAAAAAATATTTTTTCTATTTTTGATAAAGCCCCATTTTATCTGTTAAGGTGACTGTCCTGATTCTGTTAATTATTTGCCAACTATTTCAAATATAAATACATTTGCAAATACTAGCAACAAAAACATTGAGCTTCTAGGCTCCCATTTTGTACATTGAAATTATCTGCCAAATAGCCTTTGACCATCTGGATTAGTTAATGTGTTTATTTCTGAATAAGCAGTCTTCAAACTATCGGAAAATAGCCTTTTTATAGATTAATAGTATCAAAATAGGCTTCTCACTTTATCATAGATCCAGAAGCTTTGCCTGGAAAGAATAGCTTTACTATTCAACTCTGTCACATCCACAATATCTAAACAAGGGAGATGTGTAAAAATGATAAATTTTATCATTTATAATTGGATACTTATTATTTCAGCCTCTACAGGGTGGCACTAATACTTATTTTTAGATTTTGCTTTATACAGTGTTCAGCACACTGGGTTCTGGTGTCTCTTATCACTAAATCAATTACAAGAATGTATTTGAACATTTAAATACTTCATTTATTTTATATAATCACATCAAGTACAAATTATGGCATGAGTAATTTCTTTGTTCTGATTATTATTTTTTCCACCTTCTTTCAGGCTTTATCTTCCGAGTCAATAGAAAAGCTCCCAGTTTTTAACAAGTCAGCCTATAAACATTATCAGATGAGTACAGAGGCTGATGACTGGTGTATCCCTAGTAAGGAACCAAAGAACCTAGCAAAGGCAAAAGTGGCTGTGTGAAGAAGGACACCCAGGACACTTTAGGGGATCAAAGTGCTTCTACACCAGTGCAGCTCCCTGAATGTTTGCATGTCAACTCACGTTTCCTCAAAAACAAGCAACAGCAAGAGAAACTCCTTGACCAGAACACTGATTGAGGAGGCATGAGGCTCGTTTCTGTGACACAGGGGAGCACAGTGATGACTACGGGAATTAACAGAAGGCCAACTCTTCGTTTTATTTTACTTAGAATAACTCATGAGATTCTATCAAATCCTAAAGAAGAAATAGCCCTCAGATTTCCATCTCTTTACCTAAGACTGGGAAAGGGAATGAATGTGGAGACATGGGTTAACAGTTTCACTATACTGAGATTTTATGCCTCCTTTTGATATCATAAGATATTGGTATTTCTTGAACATCATGTATCAATATATCAATATTTTTCTGCCATTCAAAGGATTAGGGCTTAGTTTACACTATGTGATTAGAAATGTATATAAATACACATTTCCTATATATTTATGTGCCCTAGGGAGAAGACGCTGGTGACTAAAATAACATCCACTTTGAATGAGGAGGAAAGAATACAAATGTCTTATTCACAGTTGCAGTGGAGGCATTGGGCATATGCAAAAACTCAGAAGAAAACCTCTTTTGATAAATGCAGTTCCCTTATTATGCTACTTTTTCTATTCACACTTATAAAGTGAACACTTTTTGACAGGTGCCTAGTCTTGGATGAGTTTTAAATTATGCACTGAATTCAGGATGTGGATTGTTGAAGGGAGAGAAGAATTGCCAAAGTGCTAGCAACAGTGTCTCATCTTTTTTTAAGTGAAACAGTAGGTTAGAAACACAGTAGGCTGGAAAAATCATATAGTCACAACCTTAACTCATCAGGAAGGGCTGTTCTCTACCCTGTGGTGGTAGTAATCCAAAGGCATCTATTTTCTAGGCTTAAAAAGAGCTATTTTTGATATATGTAATTATATTCTGTACACTCCATATCATCACCATGTCTGTGAAAAAAAAAGTTCTAATAGTCAAATGTCTCAAGAACATTAGAATTTAACTAGTTCTTGAAGTATTTTTAACAAATAGCCTGGAGTAAGAGTTCTCATGCTAGGATGCATTCACTTGTGAATCATTGAGATTGAGAGCTAATAAATGAAAGCTGTAATGCATATGGCACTTTTGGGGAGGGGGTGTAGTTAAAGGTGTATAATATACAGGTTGGAGCCCTGGTAGCGCAGTGGTTAAGAGATTGGCTGCTAACCAAAAGGTCAGCAGTTCGAATCCACCAGCTGCTCCTCGGAAACCCTGTGGGGCAGTTCTGCTCTGTCCTGTAGGGTCACTATGAGTCGGAGTCAACTCAACGGCAATGGGTTTAATATACAGGTTGACAGGCCAGTCATGAAGAGGAGTATTAAGGTAGGCGTGAAAACAAGAAGGAAGGAAGGAAAACAGTGAGAGAGGAAAGCAGTAGGCAGGCATTTTGCCATTTTCCCCACAAATTAATTTCAAGAAATAATCCATATTCTCATGGATAAATTATTGACAAGAGGATGAATTGTTGGTGTCTTTTAAAAACAGTATGATTAAATGTCTCTCACTTTTAAGACAATAGGCTTTTATGAGACAATAAGCTCATCTGTGTCAAATAAATGTTTAAATCGGAATATAGAAAGAAGTAGGATTTTCTGCACTGTAAAATAATCACTACTGTCTATATGTCAAATTTAACATTGTTGTTTAATTTTGTTATGGTCTGCTGTTGTGGTAATTGTAGTAGCAATGGAAGCCGCAGACTCTTTGCTGTGGATTTCGGATTTTATCGTCAGTGACTTTCGTGATCTTGGGACACTGGCTTGCACATTTATTGATTACACAAAACTATTTGCAATAGGTTATTTGACTTTCCAGTTTTTTACTGAAATCTGAACTAAGTGTTTTTGCATATAAGTACTTGTATTTACTAAATATTTTAAAACAGTTGATTGATTAATTAACCCAAACACTGTGAACTATCTTTAAAACTCTAGGGAAAGAGATGTTAGTATCTCAATAGCATCAACTGTGTAAATGGAGTTCTATAAAATAGAAGGATTCCATGTTGGTATTTGTGAAATCCATGGAAGAGCATTAGGATACCAGTGGGTGGATACGGGAATGTTCAGGTCCCTTTAAATTATTAATGTAAAATTGTGTTTTTGTCTTTAGGCTACGTACAGAAAAATGTGATAATTTTTATAATAAATATTTTTATTATAATAACAGATATAATTTGTAGTTATTTTCTTAAATTACTGATAAAATACTAAGAATAACTTGAAGTTTTCCTCACTTTATGATCAAGTCTAATTTTTCAACGTATTTGAATAGCCCTTTGAAAGTATCAAAAGGAACTTAATTTTAAACATAAGGTAAGTCCTTTATAGTAATCCAGAAATTTCTGATTATCGTTTGCTTTCTTTTGTATACCACAATAGCACATTCTACAGTGTGCTTTATCTACATCTAATACCCATGTATTTAATAATCATTTTTGCAATACATATGTTCACTTCATTTTTTGTAAATTCACCTTAAAGTTTCACTTATTGTCTGTGCTTGCATACTAAATACAGTGGAGTCCCAAAATAATTAGATAATTTAGGTTCCCAAACTACTTCTGGATTACATATCTGAACAGCCATCTAAATAATGTAAAAATGGGGTAGAAATTACTAATTTAACTTGTGGCATATGTTATCTTTACTATCTTTAGAGTCTTTCTTTACTAATTTAAGCCTACTTAATCTTTAGACAACATTCTTTGCCCACCTCCATAACATTCTTACTGGCAAGAATCTATGAGACTTCACAATACTCTCCCTTTACTTGAATGCTTTCATGTCTTCTGCTTCTGCCAGGAAAACAGTACACCGTCTTTGTGCACACGCACACACACACACACTCACACACACAGAATTTAGCTGTACGGTTCCTTGGATTAAGCTTCTTGAGAGGTAGGGAGTTCATGCACTCCACACAGGCTCAGAACCTTCATCTGTGATTTCATAATAGCTTTAAGACTTAGCATCCGTGACCCTCCATCTATGCACAAACATATATTATTTTACTCAAGGCGATGTGTGTACCCCATACTAATTTTTGAGTCAACAAAGTGGGTCAAATTTTCACCAAAATTGTCTCTATATCATTTCTCCCAAATTTCACATTTGGCTAGAAATAGAGCATTTGATATTAGCTACCGTGACGTGCAAAGAGAGAGACCATTGAGAGCTTGTAGCTTTGGCATTGATCTTGATCATTTCTTTACTGTCCTAATTTCATCGACTGTACTTAACAATTAGATGTATATCAAAATTCCATGTACGGAAAATGTACATAGAATCTCCTGGACACTTTTGCCCGTCCTGGTGGAAGGATTGAGGGACTACTATAATTTCACAGGAGCTTATATAGGAAGCCCCTGAGCCCTCTCCATGAACACCTAGAGCAGAAGAAATTTATCTCCATTAGCATTCTATCCATACATCTCTTTTTCAGATTTATCACTTTTTAACTGACATCACAGTTACTTAGGTACTCAATAAACATTTACTGAATAAATAAATACCTGGATGAACATATGAAAGAACAATTTTCCCTAGAATAGCCTTCCAGCATTTAAGGGCAGGTTGGAACACTGGGTTAAATAACTGTACATCAAATTTTGTAAGATTTCATGTACCATTTTAATTGGTACTCAAGAGTTTTACGGCACAGCAGAATCTCTAGAACATGTTTCAAAACCAGTTCAATTGCAACTGATCTTTGTTTAATGTTGCCCTCCATTGGTGGCCTTTGACCTTTGGAAATTATCACACATTTCACAAGCAATTAAATAATGGGTTCAAGTTATCACCACTAAGAAAATTTCTTGAGCAAATGAGTTGAAATTTCAGATTTCATTTAAGTAATCTTCTTTCTTGTTCACCTTGGATTCAAATGAAAACATATTACCATCCATATTTCATGGCTCCTTAATGGAAAGGAGCAACTGTCTCTTAATGGGATTTTTTAGTTCCTACCCAAATGCAAATAAACATTAAAAGCCACTGAAAACCAATAGAAATGTCAATAACCTTGAAAACATGTTAAATCTATTAAGTCATGTGGAAGTACTGTGAGCAGTCTCAGTGATAACTCCAGCAACAAAATAATAAAGTTCATCAATGAATTATGAATCATCATTTTCATGTTTCACTGCTACTAATTAATGTAATGAAAATAACGCAAAGCTGGTTGTCAAATAATCCAATATAGCTAAGGATTATTTATTAGCATACTGCTTTCCTTAAATGTGAAAGGCTGCTTTATGTCTTTGACAAATAGTCTACTGAATGGGACGGCCTTGAGCTTTTTATCAATTCCATTAAAACTGTGCCCTTTAATGTGTTTCCAGCCCCAAAATGTACATTGACATTTGGTAGAATTGCCCCTAATTCTATCTTCTTCATTTTTAATAATAGCAAAATGTGTTCAAAATGATAAATTTTTAATCTGAAAATTAAAACAAAAATGTGAAGGACAAAAATAAAACCTCATAGCATGTTCTTAGGCAATTCTCTTATTTATTTGGTTCCTTGTTTTCTCTTCTACCTATACAAGGAAGTCTCTATACAGGGTATAGATATTTAAGAAAGACGCTTCCAATTCTAAAGTGTTTGAATCTATACTTTCTAATAACTCTTTACTGAATACCCTGCCTCCAATGTTTCTTGCCTTCAGGCCAGATTAATTGCACAACTGCACCTAGATTAAGTCTCCTAAAAAAGCCTTCTCATACTATCACTGACAAGCTCAAAATCTCTTGTTGGCTTCCCACTGTCTAAGAACCTGGTATTTAGATGTTGCTACAATCCAACCAAGGAACCCTGGTGGTGCAGTGTTTAAGTGCTCAACTGCTAACTGAAAACATCAGTGGTTCAAACCCACCAGCATCTCTTAGGGAAAAAGATGTGTGGCAATCTGCTTCCTTAAAGATTACAGCCTTGGAAACCCTATGGGGCAGTTCTACTCTGTCCTATTGGGTCGCTATGAGTTGGAATCGACTTGATGGCAATGGGATAATACAACCTACGTAACTAACCTTAGAATTCGTTGATAACAATAAAAATAAATGTTGTCCTTCAGATAGGAAGTCATACAGTGTGAGCATGCAATTTCAGTGATAGTAAATTTGCTGTAATGTACTCTGTTGCCTGATTGTGACCTGGGGTTCAATTTTGAGGTTAAAGTATAATCTGTGACTCAAAACTGCTGAGCAAGGCTGAAACCTGTCCAGGCAGGGATCAAACCCAGACCTTGGCCTCTTTAGCATTGCTGTCCAGCCAAACACTAGGTGGATGGTGGTGCCATGTGTTACCTAATGAAAACCATTAACTCTTTTTGGTCCCTTTTAGAACCTTCCACAGGGCAGCAGCCCCTGAACACTGAGAGAAGCTGGCTGACTGCACATTATAAACAAACACACAGACAGGCCTAACACAGCACTTTGCCCAAAGCACACTCTCAATAATTGTTTGTCAAATAGATGAAAAGAGATTTAAGCCATTAAAGTAACAATTAGGCTTCAGTTGTTCCTAGGCAGTCTCTTTTCCCTTCTAAATATCATATTTCATCTTGTGAGAGCAGACCTCCAAATGATAACAAAAACAAGGACAAAACACGTTTTTTTTTTTTGAAGTCTTTGGTAACAGTCCCCTGGCTTGTTGTTTTTTTACTTTTTTTTCTTAGACTGTTAGACAATAGTCCCTTGTACCTAAAAATATATCCCACATTCTGTGTACAGTCAGATGTGATTCTTATTTTTACATAATCCAGAGAGTTCCCGGCTTGATTTCTGTTTATCATGTGGTAATTTGAGGGAAAAATAATTTAGGGACAAAACTTGCCACTGAGCTTGCAGAAACTATTTCTTAACCAAAGATAATCTGTTAATTATAATATACTGCATTTTAACAACATTTTTTAGTGGTCACAAGTATCCATTACATGTATTATAGTAGATACTGGTTTCATTAGACTTTCTTCACTTTCTGAACCCTTTGTAATTGAATATTAAGTAAGCAATAAAGAAATTGTATAGAACTTATTATGTGCCAGGCATTGTTATAAGCACTTTACATAAATTAACTCATTTTATTCTCACAGCAACCCATTATATTATCAACTTCTTTACATAAATTAACTTTACATAAATTACATAAATAAGCCCATTTAATATCCATTGAATTGTTAACTCCTTTGCGTAAATTAACTCCTTTTATACTCACAGCAACCATGATATTACCATGACCACTTTATAGATAGGAAACTGAGCTACAAAGAACTCAATAACTTGCATCTATCAAGGGGCAGAGCTGGGATTTGAACAGAGGCACTGTAGACTCCAGAGCCTTTGCTCTGTAGAAACAGTCCTACTTTGAGGGATGCATCCAGGACTGGAACAAGTCAGAGTGATATCTCAGATTATGCAAATGGGCGCCCATAACTAATCTACAGTGGGAGGAGCACTGACATGGGCAGCCTACTCAACCAGCTGCAGGTGCCTGGAGTTCCTCAGACAAAGATTTCTAGAAGGCTCTGCCTTTTCCTTATCTTCAGTTAGGGAGAGAATGTCCTTCGGCATGTAAATAAATGTTTTGAGGGGAATATAGACAAGTGTCTCTAAGTTTATAACCTAGGAGCTTTGTGCCTTCCTGAAATGTAAGCACATACCTCCAGGGAGTCTCTTACTATCTACTATCTATTCAGGCACATCTCTTACTATCTATTCAGTTATCTTTCAGTTTCAAGGCTGGTCCCAGTAAAATTTTTCCCTAAAGCTCTAACCATGCAGAAACATAAAAATGTTCACTTCCTGACAATTAGAAGAATGATGGCCATTACAAGTGATGCATTCAGAGTGTTATAAGAAGACCTAATCTACTCTGTCATAGGAAAGAGGGGTGGATCATGGAAGACATCCCTGAGGAGTGACATTTGTTTAACCTGAGGCATGAAGAAAAACTAGGAGTTAGTCTGGCAGTTATGAGTTAGATGAGGCTAATGATGTGTGGTGGCATAATGGTTAAGAGTTCCACTGCTAATCGAAAGGTTGGCGTTTGGAACCCACCAATGGCTCTATGGGTGAAAAGACCTGGCTACCAGCTCCCATAAAGATCATAGCCTAGGAAACCTTATGAGGCAGTTCTATTTTGTCATATAGGGTCACTATGAGTTGGAATCTACTTGATGGCATACAACAACAACAGTTAACAGTGGTCTGTAGAGAGGCAGGGGACTTAGT